CCTATATAGGGATGACTGGTGCGCTCACAGCACTCACTGGCTGAGCGCGGTGCGGCCGGTCGCAAAAAGGACAAAAAAAAAATGTATTTGGGCCGGCCCGGTGGCGCACTCGGTAGAGTGCGGCGCTTGGGAGTGCGGCGGCGCTCCCGCCGAGGGTTCGGATCCCATATGGAGACCGGTCAGCTCACTGGTTGAGCGCGGTGCGGGCGCAACACCGAGGGTTGCGATCCCGTTGCCGGTCACGAAAAAAGACAAAAAAAAAAAAAGATCCTCTTACCGGTCATCTTTTTTAAAAATTAAAAAAAAGAGGAAAATATTGCCATTTGCAATAACATGTATGAACATGGAAGACATTATGCTAAGTGAGATAAGCCAGGCACAGAAAGAAAAAATACCACATGATCTCACTTATACATGGGATCTAAAATAGTCGAACACATAGATGCAGAGAGTAGGATGTGGTTCCAGGGGCAGGGAGTGGGGAGAAATGGGGCAGGTGTTAGGAAAAGGGTATAAACTTTCAGTTATGCAAAATAAATATCTGGAGATCTACTGTACAATATAAGGCCTATGATTAATAATACCATATTGTACCCTTAAAAATTTGCTGAGAAGGAAGATCTTATATTAAGCATTCTTACAACAAAAGGAAAAAAAGAAAAAAGAAACAAAGGGGATGGAAGAAAACTTTTGGAGGTGGTGGGTAAGTTTATAGTGTTGATGGTGTGATGATGGTTTGGCAGTTTCACGGGTGTATACTTATTTCCAAGCACAGCAAGGTGGGTGCTCTAAATACCTGCAGCATTTTGTATGCCAATCACACCTCAGTAAAGTGGATAAAAAATCAATATGCTCAAATACCTTCTGCACCCCCAGTACTTACAGGGCATTCTGCCATGAGATGTGAAGAGATGTGAGACGCATCCTTGCTTTCGATATACTTATAAATAATTTAGAAAATAAAATATAAAAGAAAAATTAACAACAGAAAGAATACACTCCCATCCTCCCCCTCTCCCACCTGACACACACCTTTTTCTTTTTTTTTGAGAGGCCGAGAAAAGGCTCAAATTGCTTCCAGATAGACTTCCCTCCAGAGAGCTATTTCTTTGAATGTACCGTTGAGAATTGACGAGCACACAATGGCCTTGTCGTTTTCTTTCTGTTGTGAGTTAGATTTTAGGCCCAAATGAGTGTAATGTACAGCTGAGAACAGCTTGCATTTCATCACAAAATCAAGGGCCACCTGAAGCTCATGATTGGTGATAGTGACCTGGGGATGCCTGATTGACACATGAAGGTCCTTCAGCCCCTAGAGGACCCCCCCCAGCCAGTCAGGTGCTGGTGGATCTGCACAATTGGGGGTTCTCAAACCTGATCAGGGACCCTCCTTCCTCCCCAGCCAGCCCGGGATTCAGCTTGGTGCTTGCGATCCCTAATTTGCTTTTTGTACGGGAAGGAAGGTCATGAGCAGGACCGCTGACCACGTTTGCTGCTGTCACGGACCTCAGCATGGGTGGGACAGATTCACCAGCCACTGTAGAAGGCTCAATGCTTTTGGAAAAGCCTCGTGCTGTGTGGGTTGTGGTTTCAAGGGGTACGTAGCAGCTCCTTGCCCCCGGGGGGCTGTGAACGTGGTGTACCTGCCTCCCCTTTCTGAAGCCTAGATTGCATCTCACAACTGACGGTGGACTCCTGGCTTCACTGGCCACAGAGGCAGGGCCTGCACCGCCTCAGAGAGGCCATGAAGAGCCCACTCAACCCAGAAGGGGGGAGGACAGGGGTGGGGGCTGGGTTGCCTGGGGTGGCATGGATTGTTAAAGGGTTTCTCTTGGCAAGGAGTGCAAATATTTAGCTGGTGAGAGGATATAAAGAGGTGAACGCATTTGTTCACAAGAATTCTAGGTGGTGCGGGAGGGCACGCTTCAGAAAAGTAGGACATGGCAGGGAAAGCAGTGTGGGGGGAAGTCACCGTGCAGAGAGGGCAGAATTGCTGCTTGGGTTGTGAGTCAGGAATCACTGTAAGGGGCTGGAGATGGGGGAAGAGGACGCGCGTGTTTGAGAGCTTCTGCCCTGCATGGGGGAGAGCTTGAGAATGAGAGAAGTAGGTAAAGAAGGAATCAGTTGGTTGGAGCGTGGTGCTGATAACGCCAAGGTCCAGGGTTCCATCCCTGTACTGGCCAGCTACCAAAAAAAAAAAAAAAAAAAAAAAAAAAAAAGAGAGAGAGAGAGAGAGAAAGAAGGAAAGAAAAAGGGAGAATGAACCTCTCCTGCCCCCAAGAGCTTTAGTAAGGATTTGAATTTCTTTCTAGGGTATTTTTCTCCCAGACTGCTGTTTCTGGGAATGGGGCACTGTAAGTCCCGGCCCAAATGGAGCCCTGGGTTTTATGCAGGTTACTCCTTTTCTGCAGCTGAGGAAACCAAAATTCAGAAATGGGACGCAGCAAATAAGCGCATTCTCTTATTATTTTTTCCCCCCAGCCATTCTACAAAAACAAAACCCCAAACTCAGTGACTATTTTGTGCCAGGTTTTATTATTGATGTTTATTCAGAACTTTAAGGATGCTCATACACTCAAGTATTTTCAAACACTAAAAAAAAAAATGTAGTTTTTTGTATGTTCATAGTTATGCTTATGAAAAACTTCTAAGAACAAGGAAAAGAGAACAACAAAAGCAGGCAATGGATGGTGTGGGTGCAGGACTACAACTGGTTATAACCTCCAGATCACAAAGCAAAGACCAGAGGGCCCTGTCCCAGCACGCTGATTGCGGCTCTCTTTCCCCGGCACTTTTTAAATCTTTTCCAAAGTTTTATGATATATGTTTCTATTATAAGGTGGGGAGAAAAGTCCTCCTTTCCCTGTAGAGGGTCGTTCTGCTTTCTCCTAGCTATCCCAATTTGAGGACTCTGTTTTAAGGAAAGAATTCTAATAATCATGCAAAAAGCATTTGGCACACAGATGTTCATTTATCACTATACGTCATAAAAAATTTGAAAATGTTCATGAAAGGGGCAAATAGCGTACCATTCATTGCTTTCCGTTTTCTATCTCCTTTCTCCTCTCATGCCACACAGCTCCCATAGCAACCGCAGCAGGCAAAAATGTGTGACCTGGTCCTGACCAATCAGAGTGGATCCTGGGCTTTTGCTGCCCTCCACCCCCCACCCCTTCCCGCTCTGCAGCTCCAAGGTGGGAGCCTACCTGGGGGTGCTGTGTGGCGAATGCCTTTTTGCAAGATGGAAAGACAGATGCTGATGACATTTTTACCCTCTGGATCCAGACATACCTGAAACCCACTGTTCCCCTAAGCTTGTTAAGTATGTGTGCCAACAAATTCTTTTTCTTGTGTAAGCCAGTTTGAGTTGGTTTTGGACACTTAAAACAGAAAGAGTGATGATTAAACTTTGTCTAATTAAAAGACTGTACATATGGTCAAGAGAATATTTTGCAACATAAAAAAACAATGCTTATGAAAAGGAAGAAAAGCATCAAATGGAAAATACTGCTAAGTGAAAACAGCAAGATGGAAAGTTACAGATCTGTAGGCAGATGATGAAATTGGGAATTAAAGAGAGAGAAAACTCAGTGCATTGCAGAAACATATATATTTTATAATGCAGCCTTGCGGGAGGGTCCCCAGCAGGCAGTCTCTTAATGACAACTATGTAAAGCCAGCACTACAGCACCCAAAGAGGAGCAGAGAAAGAAAATTCTATGCCAAACGCCAACAGTCATCACTCCTGGTTGGTGTGTTATTTCTTCCTCCTATTTTTTTACTTTCCTGAATTTAAAAAGAAATTGTACTTAATGCATATGCATTACTTTCAAAATAGCAGCTCAAACATAGAAAAGAAAAGAAAACAGTTTCAGATGGGCGAACCAGGCTACCAGAACTCCTACAGGTTCCGAGGTCCTGAAGGAGCTCCAAGGACTTGCGTTGAGGGGGACACAAGAGGGATTCCTGGGCCTCTCTCCTTCCTGCTGGAATCTGGTTGAGCAGGTTCCTGTGACATCCTTTTGTGTGCAAACCCAGGATCTGAGCCAGCCATTACTGCCAGGGTTGGGGAGGCAGAGAGGCAAAAAGAAGGTGAGTTGATAGGGAAGAGAGAACACAAAGTCCCTTCCGTTGCTACAGAAGCTGGCATAAAAAATACTCATCTAGCAACAATGCATGACTGTGCATGCGGCAAGTGAATGGGGCACTGGAGCAGCAGACGGGATGAGGTAGAGTGAAGGAACGAGGGTGGTGATGGGGACGGGAGCAGGTTGACCTTGAAACTCACCAGCGAGGGCTGAATGCCCTCTTAGTGACTCGTCCCTCCCAAGTTCAGCAGACCCACTTGGACCTCCCAGTTAGGGGGTCTCCAGGCATCTGCTCTGCTGGTTTCGCTTGGCCTCACCCTGGTCCCTTTGTATTCTGCCCCGAGTCCCCTGGGCTCAGCTTGCCTTCATCCTCTCCTGTCACTTAGGATCCTGCTTTCTCATGTCTGGCTGGTGGCTGAGGCTGAGTCTCTGTGGCCACCTCCAAAGATGAGCTCATAGGCCTATTTTCTTGCAAGAGTTTCTGTTAAAAAAAAAAAAAAGAAAAAAGAAATCCAACCAAACAAACAAAACACCAAAAATACTAATGACGGGGAAGCTCTGATGTCTCAGGGCAGCACTGTGAAGTAGATGAAAGCCCAGCTCAGGAGTCAGGCTTCTCGGGCTTGTCATCCCGAGTCTACCACTCCATTGCTTGGAGAACTGGGTGCTCCGGTCTGAAGGTTTGCGTCCCTCACCCCCACCACTCCTATGTTGAAACCTAATGCCCAGTGTAATAGTGTTGGGGCTCAGAAAATGATACCCCCAAATATGGCACTTTGGCATGCTGAGTGCTTTGAACAAAGGAGATTGAAAGGCCTCAGAAATAAGCCTCACAACCAAGGTCTCTCTCTGACCTTCTGCCCACTCCCCTTCCCTTCCAAAGTACAGAGAGGTGCTTTTTCTGAAGTTCCCTTATCCGATGAAGGGAAGTTCCTCTAGAAGGAA